TGATTAATTAATGTGTGACCATAGCTTAAGATTGTCCGTAAGTAAGTAAGTAAGTAAGTAAGTAAGTAAGTAAATAAGTAAGTAATATTGGCAGTATCCAGAAACTTGAAACATTAAACAGAAAATAATGTTAATTTTTCCTCATTTTCCAAGACCTCTTTACCTAAACTGCATTATCCATTCTCCTCCCACTTATGACTGCATGACTGTAACTGTGTTGCTTGCATCCTTACAATTTATATTGATATTGTTTCCTGATTGCTTATTTATATCCTATGACTATCATTAAGTGTTATACCTTATGATTCTTAATGAATGTATCTTGTCTTTTATGTACACTGAGAGCATATGCACCAAAGACACATTGTGTGTCCAATCACACTTGGCCAATAATGAATTCTTTTCTATTTATATGTTACAAGTTCATTTGGGCTATTCATTTAATGATTGTTAATGAAAAAAGTGACATGACCTGCACGTATAACTGTTACACCACCATTATGGTCATGTGATTGCAATTTGGGTGCTTGGCAGCCAGCTTTACTGCTAGTTGCAGTGCCTTGTCATGTGATCATGATATGTGCTCTTGCTTTGCCAATTTCTGACAAAAAAATGCCAATTGGGGAAGTTGGATTTGCTTAATGACCATTGATTAATTTAACAACCATGTGATTCACTTAACCATCACCGAAAGCATTGTAACGCCAATGACTTAGGATAGAAATTCCGATTCCAGTTGAGGTCGCAAATCGAGGAATATCTGTATATCTAGACTGAATGATGCTTCAAAACAGGAATATCCTGGCACCTAAGGCTTGTCAAAGCAATGAAATGTAACCAGGAAGCTTTTAATCTCAGGGAAATGTGCCAAAGTATTTTTTCTAAGATAATGAAAGATCTGTTATTGATAAACTTGGATAAGGGTGTATGATGACTTGAAGGTCCAGCTGAAATGTGTGCCTCTATCAATTTTCTGCAGAAAGGTGTGAAACAGTGAAAGCATACAGTAGGTAAATTGCAATAAGACATGATCATATCGTACCAACTTGATTATTGTATCTTTGTAGTTTGTTTTACACTATTCACTAAGAGTATTAAGTCTTCTACATTCAGACTCTAGAGGGCTGAATGCCTGATAGATTTGGAAGAAGCACAACTTGAACCCCATTTCTTCCATCCAAACAAATAATAGTGATTCAGATCTGGGTTCGGAGGTACAAGATAAAAATTGCACTGAGCAGGGTGAAATCTGAGCATACTGTAGTATTTGTAGAAGAGAAATAGAAATGACATTCTCCATACTTTTTGCACAGTCCTTTGCTGTTGGAAACCCTAGCCTGGGTGATGAGAGTTAGAAATCTAAATATTTTACATCAATTTTTTGCCTGGAAAAGATAAACAGTACAGGAAGGCCTATTTCCTGGCCAAAAAGAAAGAAAAGGGGAGACCTACCAACTCTAACCTGCAAAATGTCCAACAATCTCTTGATGGCACTTATAGAGATAGAGGACATCTTTTTGCTGTCTTCCCAATTTTTGGAGCTCAGGTTGGCTTATCTTGTTGGCTGTGGGACTAAATGCTTAAGTTAAAGTCCTAAATGATAGAGCAGAAATACTGAATCCAGATCATAGCTGGATTCACAACTAGTTCATAGAATCTAGCCGTGATCTACAGCAGATTTGTTTTGAAATCAGTTCACTGTGCTAGGAAAGCAGAACAAGGTTATGAATACAACAACTGTAGAACGATTTAGCACTGTTATTGTATTGGTTTATTCCCTTTTAACCTTTTCTTTCCCATAAACACTAAGCTAAAGTAGAGGTGATTTAATTCAGCAAGATAGCCGATGAAGAAATCCATAATTATTATTACATTATTTATTTTGCATAGAAGATCCCACATGCTACTTTAAAGTTCACCTACTGCATAGATGTTATTCGCAAAAAAACCACCACAAGCTACTAGTATGGAAGAAAACTGCTGCATGAAAATAAGCAAACCAGAAAACATAATAACTTAGTTTGTGAGCAGTTGGATTTATTGGTATCCTTTCAGGAAATCATTTCAGCTGCCATGTTTCTGAATTCTGGGTATTTGCAGTTGTAAAGAGAATGTTTCCATATGATATATTTTCATTCTGACTTCCTGGTATCTGCCTACTTCATTGTTTTTATTTAAAAATAATCCTGTTAATGTGCTATTATGGGTGTGAGAAGTAAATATATTTTATGTGTGGTTCTTGAAAATTGTTCAGAAATTGCCTTTCCATAAATGCAGTTGAGAAAATACTTTTCATTTCAGGGTATATTGTTTGCTGGAAAGTTTGGTTGAAAGGGTTGGTTCTCATCCAAAAATATTCTAGTTGTAAGGCAGGCATTTTTTTTACAGATGATTCCTTCCAAATGGATTGTTTTGTTTCCCCCTCGATGACTCCATGAGTAATCTTGGGCAACAAAGTAATAGCAAAACACTTCATTAAGACAAAGATGTTTTGCTAATATATTATCAAATTGTATACCATGAGTTTATTATTAATGAATTACTCTTATTGGTTATGATAATCTACCTGTTTTTATGTTGTGCAAAGATTTCCCTTTACTTTATACTGGTCCATTGGCCCAAAAGAACAGACTAGGAAAGTTGAAAACAAAACAAAACAAAAGCAAATACATATTAATCAAACAGAAGTTTTATGATTTTACAATTTCTATAAATTATATCCAGGTACACATTTGATGGATGAAAGTAATTTATTAGAAAAAAATTAACATGGTGAATTTACATAAATACAATACTTAAAAATCAAATTCCGATTTGAATCAAACGGCCTTAATTGAAGGATTCTTCCAGATTCTTTATTATTTTATTATTATTTTCAGCCATTATACTTCCATTTACAATATTAAAATCTATATTGAAATATGTTTACCATTTGATCAGTAGGTAGCAAAATATGAGTAATTGCATTTCTGAGGAATTTTCCATATTTCCTCAAGAATTTTTTAATTAAAACAAATGCAGTAGCTAACTGAGGTTTGCCCAGATTTTAATGTTAAAATTCTGTTTCTTAAATGGTGCTCAGTCTGTGTTTCCTTAGACATATTGCTGTATGTTTTTCTTCAAAGTATTTTATTTGATAACTCCTGGTAATTATCAAGATACTCAAGAAAAGGGCCATTTTCTTTTTAGAAATACTTAAAGCTGCAAAAATCCAAGGAACAGTAAGGAAATTGAAGCCACCTTTGACCCATCCAAGATTGCACAGGTTAGAAAGAGTAGCTATATTAGAGGATGCTCTGCTACGGAAACAGAGAAGTGTCTCCGCTACCTGCATCAGGTCATGTGGCTGGTTTTGGAATTCTTTTAAAATAATTAAGGGTTAATGACTGTGGTAGATGACATTTCTTTGTAAATATTTCAGTAAATTGAATGAGGGAGGGATAGATTTCTGTTTAAATGTCTTTCTTCCCAGAATGGGGTTCTCTAGCACTGACTGGAGCTATCCCATGAAACAAGCGTGTGTATGTGTGTCTTAGAATCAGAGTAGATTCCTGGTATCGTGAGTATTCTTGCCAAGACTTTGGAAGTGGTTTGCCATAGCCTCCTTCCTAGAGCTGGGAGAGCATGACTGGCCCAGGATCTTCCAGCTGGCTTTGTGCCTAAGGGAGGAATAGAACCTATGGCTTCCCAGCTTCTAGACTGATGCTTTAATCATTACACCAAACTGGTTTTGCCCATGATAAACTGTCATTCATGGGGAAACTAAGTACAGTAGTAGATTCAGTTCAATAAAAGTAATAAAATTATAACAAATAGTACTATTAGTTATATTTTAAATTGCTGAAGATATAAGAAAACCCTAAGAGGGATAACTTTCTGCAAGAGAAAACCTATAGCAGCTTGAATATCCCTGATTGATCTTGATATATTTTATAATGATTTAAGTTTAGAATGTATGATGATCATTCATTTAAGAAGAGCCAATTCACTTAGCAAAACAAAACCAGCTAAAGCTTTAGCTAGTGGGGTGTAGTAGTTAAAATGTTAGACTTGAAAGGATCCAGGTTGATTTACTAACTTATTCAATTGATACGTTTTATCAATTTGGTTGATTTGGTTATGGGCACCCTTCTCACCGTTATGACTCTGGGCAGTAACAGCAGGTTGAAGTCCTTTCCCAGATGAACAAGCTTGTTGAGTGACTGGACCAGGAATTATCTCCCAACATAAACTACAGTTTAGTTTATGGAGAAAAATGGAAAGGGGAAATGCTATTTACCTTGAGTTCCTATGGGACAGTTTAACTCTAATAAATATCTAAACAAATATCTGGAGTCAACAGTAGTAGATTCTTTTCTGTGAAACCATACAAGCTGTTCTGTCTATGGAGGACATTTATTCCAATACCAACACTTAATCCAAGGGCCACTCTAGTTTGCTATTATCCGTTATAAAAAAAAAATTGTGTTTTAAGATCAGGAAAACAAACAACTCAAGGATTATTCTTGTCAGGATTTTTTTTTAAACATAATTTTTGCACAGTATACATTTCCTGAGCAATTCTGCAAAATAATTGTTTTACATTGTGGTTGGAAAAATAGGAATAAAACTTAAATGTAAAATATAAGTAACATGCATAAAAGTTTTTTAAGGCAAATAATTTATAATTAAGAGAAAGACAAGGTTCCAATAGAAGAAAATATTTGTAGATCAGAGTTGAACTGTGGAGTCCTAGGTGCTTGGATTATTGATAATTTTCTTGCAAATATTTCATTACTCAGATACATAACATCTTCAGTATACCAAGAAAACCAAACAGCCACAAGCAAGATTGTTAATTGTTTGAGTCCAATGGAATTCTTTGTAGCTGATAATAGCTCACTGATAAGCCAAGATTGTACTGCAAATGAAAACCTACTCTAATTTCTCTTTGTACCTTATGTTTTTTTAGGATGCCATACAATAAGGGTCCAGTATAAAGCAACTTTTTTCTCTTCCAGGTCGCCACTGTGAAGTCCATCAAATGACTGGAAACTACATGTGGGATCCAGTGACCAATCTGTCTTTTGACATTGGTATGAACCCAGACAGCCTTCGGCCTCTTTGGTGGAATGGATCCGAGCCCTTGTGGGTCACTATGACAAAAGCCAAGAGGAAGGTCTCTATGTACTTTTGGCCTGGTTAGTACTGCCAAATTCTCTTCAGCTGACTGACTAATATTGTGTATTCCCTATGATATAAAGTTCTCTATAAGGAAGGTAGGTCACGTGAACAAAATTCAGCTTAGCCTTGTTCTCAAATCATAACTGTTTAGGGTGCCGGAAGAAAGCTTTTGCATGTAGGTTTCCCTTTTCTGAATGGAAACATTTCTTTTTAAGGTATACCAACATTTTTTATTCACTTATCCATATATAGAAAGAACCATATTTGCTCTGAAGGTTTTTTTATTTTATTTTAATCCAACAATTCATTTTTTCTTGGCCTCCAGGAATAGTGAACTTCAGCTCTCATAATTTCCTAGTCATCATGGCTTTTGTCAAAGAACAGTTAGGGAACTTATGGAATTTTCTTCCACATACTCTGGAAGATAACATATTGGAGAAAAGTCTTTTGTTCTTTTATTCTCAGCCATGGAAACTTCCCTATTTCAATCAATAATTTTGCTCATTACATACACTTCTCCTGTCACTATTTTCTTTGTTTCTTATATTTGCAAATTACATTGAAGGGCATTGTTTAAAATGACTAACAAACATATTCAGGTTAGGTTGCTTGAAGCTTAATATAAAGGAACAAAATGTACTTTAAAAATCATGAGAGATCTAAGCATAATATGTTTTTCTGGACAATTTATGCTTTATACCAGTGTTGAGAAACACTGCTTTATACTCTTAGTCCTTTGTCCTAGTGGCAGATTATAGATGCATGATATGTTGTAACCACTCTTGCTTGACCATGTTTACAATGAACTATTATCAGTGTAAAACCTGGAATGATTTCAATAAGCATTTTACAACATAATTTCCGATCAAAGTATACTAAGTTGAGCAATATTGCCCTGCTATTATGTTATGACTGTTTGCACGACAGTAAACCCTATGCCAAAAAAAAAAAACCTAAGGAGAGGGATAGCAGAAAAATAAGTGATTCATTTTCTATGAATTCTTTGTATTCCCTGTAGCCTAGAGGTGTTTTAGAGTTCTTGCCAGATGACTGAGAATCTGAATACTTTGTGTTTTAATAGGGGTTTCTATAGGGGATCATCATGTACAAAAATATCAGCAAAATACTAATGTCAGATTATAGGGTCTGAGTGGAATCTAGATTTCCTCTACCAACAGAAAGCTTTAAAGCATCAGAGGAGCATCAGAGGAGGAGAAGAAGAAAAGAGAAAGATTTGCTCCTGTTCTTTCACTCCCTTCAACCCAAAAGACCTCTCCCCTCCCCTTTCAAATTCACTTGAACAGTTTGAGGTCCTTCCACAGGAAACAGAGCAGAAGGCTGAAGGAGGTTATATTGTGGGGGGGGGCAGTTCAAACCCACTTTTCTTGGAGGAAACTTTTGCTTTTGTAGTTCTCTTCATTAGTCATTGCATTGTTTCTATGTATGGGAGTTGATATATGTGGCCAAGTTGGTGCTGGCATATCCATATAGGTAGTCCTGAAATAACAACAGTTCATTTAGTGACTAAAGTTACAACGACACTGAAAAAAATATTTATGACTATTTTTTACACTTATGACTATTGCAGCATGCCCATAGTCACATGATAAAAATTCAGACGCTTGGCAACTGACTCATACTTATGACAGATGCAGTGTCCCAGGGCCATGTGTTCTCCTTTTACAACCATCTGACAAGCAAAGTCAATGGGGAAGCCAAATTCACTTAACAACATTACTAATTTAACAACTGCAGTGATTCATGTTAGATCGGTGGAAGAATGAAGTAGAGGCGTCTGAGGTAACCTTAGCCAAACTACTTTATTACAGGCAAGAACGAATACAAATGGTAGACCGGCACCTCTCCTCCGTCTGACAACTTTTTATATGGAGCTGTCAGATGGATGAGCCAATAGCCGCGCGTATGACAGCCCGGCAACTCGCAGGCGCGCCTGATTGGTTAAGACGTGCCTGGCTGCTGCCGAGCTGTCATTCGTAAGTCCGAGGACTTACGAGACTATAACAATTCACTTAACAACTGAGACAAGAAAGGTCACAAAATGGGGCAAAATTCACTTAACAAATGTTTCATTTAGCAACAGAAATGCTGTGATCAATTGTGGTCATAAGTTGAGGACTACCTGTAAAGTAAGGCAGTAAGTCTTATTGATTCATTCGGGTTCTACAGAGTTCAAGTCATCTCCTCTGTGTGTATTTAGTCATGCCTTTTATATAACATTATATTAAGAAATGCAACACTATTGATAGTGTTGCAAAAACAAAGAATGAATAAAAGGATAATGTAAATTGATTTGCTCAGTTTTGACAAACAGAGGAACTGGTCAATCCAGTCTTCTTTTCTTAAATATGACAAGCTTATATTCTACAAGCTCTTTTTCCATCATGTTCCTCAATTCCATCCAAATATAGTCTTTTTGGTGATAACTCTCTTATATTATATTAAAGCTTATATTATCTTTATTAAAATTAGCATGGAATAATGAAAAAAGAGTGCTTGTATTTAAATATGTATAATATTCATACATGGATATGTTTTAATGAATAAATAATATATAATAATTCACTTTAAAATGTTAGCTGCTAAATATTACACTTAAATCATTGTGTACAACGATGATTTGCAATGGAGTAGTGATCATCATTATTATTACTTTTGAAATAATTGGTACAAAGCTTTATTATTAAAGTATTTCACAGCAGCCAAAACAATGTCCGTTGACATATTTTTGAAGATCAAACCTACTGAATACCTAAGAACAGAAGTTCATATATTTACAAATTTCTTTTGTAGGCTATGAGGCTATAGAAGAGAACATTCCTTAACATTAAAATGTACACATTAATGTGGCTGTTACAAAAATGTATAAATAGCATAATGTTCACACTTACAGCAGCTGAGGATGGGGCTGTGGCTGAACACAAGAGGTGTGTTCAGGTGAACTAAAGAAGGTCATATTAGCAAGTCACTAAAATGCTAACCTTAGTTTGAAAATATATGGGACTTCAAGTCACATGACAAATCCAGCATTTGGCATATGGCCTCTATTCAGAACAGTGCAAATACTGTAACTAAAAAGGGATTAAAAATATGTTTTTTCCCTCCAAGGCTTGATTTTTTTAAATCTCATATTTATAAATGATTATGCAATCACTTAGGTTTTACAAAGTATGAAAGTACTTAGTCTAATTGAAGTTAAACCAGGGGCATATGCAGATGGTGTCAAAAAGAGTTCTGCTAGTGGCCATACCACCTCATTGAAGCCCTGTGTCCTGTGACATGATTTATATAAAAAGGGCTGAAGCTATGATCATATCGTACCATATTTTTTTAATCCTCCCCCCCCATCAAGTGTGTCTGTCCCTGAATTAAATTTTTGACCATTCTTCAGTGGGAATAAAATTTTAAAAAGAAAGAAGCACCACCACTTAATTCATTTCTTCTCTACAAAATAATAACTGTATTTCCCCAGACTTTCTGTAAGTATCTGGGAAGCTTTAAAAGGTTTCAGTTACATCATTCACCACCCAGTTATTAAAATAAGGTTTATACATTTAATTTGGAAATGATGAGAGTTTCGTTCATTTCTCAGAGTCCAATCATTTTAAGGTGAGAGAAATGGAAGAGCTTTTATTATTCAGATGAAATTATTCAGTACAATTCAAGATGCTGCTACTTTGGTCTTGAAATATTTTGAGCTCCTGATGATTTGACTGTAGATGAGAACTTTTTCAAAAATGCAGGTAGGGAGCTGTGTATGAGAAGCTGTTCTATAAAATGCACTTCAAGCCCTGCATTTGAAATAACTTTTTTAAAAAAAATTCTGGATTCGGTCTTGGCATTGAAAAAGCAACATAAGAGTGAATATGAAATCTAAAGCTTACTGTTTTGATGGAGCAGTTGAAATCTGAATATACAAATGTAATGGTCAATCGTTTCTTTTACATGATTATCACTTTCAACATGTATTTTCATGGAAAACAGACAGGACCAATATGGCATGATAAAGATTTTTAAAAACAGCTTCTTTGTAATTTAGAAAAGAAAGAATTCTTTTATGTCTTAATCTTCCCCAACCATACTCAAATAGACCAAGCTGGCATTAATCAATTTTCTTCAAACCATAGTTTCTTTATTTTAACCACTATCTCTCCAACCTTTGATTGAAGGATATTTGCTACCATCAAAGGAGGAACAAATTGCCCCAATTTATGAAATCCAAGCTGCTTACAAAATTTTCTATATTTCCCTTTATTCCATCTTATCTGTCTCTATACCAGACAGGAAATAATTATCACACCACTATGATTTCAGAAGATCTGAATTATTAAATACTAAATTGTTGTATTTTTTATGTGAGTAGAGCACCAATAAATATTAATATGGGGGTTCTCCTTATCCAGACTTGATGTTTCGCTTTGGGAATTGTTGCTACTACGTCTCAGTGTAATGTATTCGTTGAAAAAGAATTGTGGTGTCAGAAAGTGTATTGGTTCAAACAGTTTTAAGAAGAGTGTATCGGGAAATAGAACAAGAGTCTGATACATTCATTTTATAAAAAGTAGTGAACTAGATAAAGTTGTTCTTTGACTTACAGTTAGTTTTTGAAAAATTAATTTGACAACCATTTTTGTCAAATAACATTACTTCTAACAGAAAGCAGAATTTTTTTGAGATCTTGTAGAACTCAGTTGAGGACAAAGATGGAGTGTGTGTGTGTTTGAGATATCGGCTTATAATTAATGAATTATAATTCATTATTTAGTGCAATGATAATTCAAATAAAATAAGCATCAAATCATGGAAAATCAAGTTGCATTATATATTTTTTATTTATAGACAAACTGGCACATATGTGCACATGCAGATACGTGAATTTGATTGTCAATTGATCATCAATCATTATATTTCAGTGTGAATATTTATACTGATGATTTTAATATGAATTATTCTATTCTCATTACTTTTTTTTTTAAAGAACTTTCTGTCTGAGAGCCAAAATCCATGCAAGAAACAACCTGAATTTATATCACACAATTTAGGTTTAAAATTTAAGCAAGGCTTAACTAATGAAATGTTTCTTTTTAGGCTGTGAAATTGAAATCCTTGGAATTCGACCTAACCATTGTATACCATATGAAAATGCTCCAACGGATGCCGATTTCTCCAAAGCTGTAAACAATGCCATTGAGTCTTTAAGGTAAAATCATCAAACCATTTTAATTATTTCATTGACAGAAAAATGAAAAGTTAGGATCTTGTTGGATTAGTTTGATAATAGCACAAAATCTACATTTTCCATATAGTATTGTTTGGCATTAATTCAAAAATTAATTCAAATAATGCAAAAAATCTTCATGGTGGAACTTTTCCTATTATGTTTACTGGACAAAGTCGCTGTTCTTATGAACCTTAAAAGGCACGTTTAGTATGCTAATATACCCAGCCAACATACAAACATTGGGAACCAAAGGTGTAGTTCAATCCAGCAGGGACGTGCAGTCAGGGGAGGCAGGGCCTCACCAGTGTCATGAGGAAAAGAAAAGAAACATTAAAAGGAAAAAGACTAAGGTAGTTGCTGCCAGACTCCAGAGTCACAGTGGATGACTCTGAGTCTGCTTAGTGCTAACTGTAGGAGGAGGCGAGAGAACTCTTTTGCATAAGGAATTTTTCGCCTTTTAACCCTTGCTCAGAGTTAAGCAAGGGTTAAAAGATGAAAAATTCCTTATGCAAAGGAGGCACGTGATTCTCCCACCTCCTCCTGCAGAGGACACTTTGTTTAGAGGCTTTTTTTAAACAGTTAAGCAGAGACATCCACGTGGTGACTCTAGCAGCAACTATCCCAGCCTGGCTAGCCTAGAGCAGCTCTTGCCTTTTTCTTTTTACATTTTCATCGTGACGGACAAGAGGAGAGTTGACGCAGCTGGAAGGTATGTGGGTCGGAGGAAGGGGGCAGGGGGGAGGAATTCCAAATTATTTGTAAGTAATTGTAATTTGTTTTATTATAAGTAATTTGTGTGTGTGTGTGTGTGTGTGTGTGTGTGTGTGTGTTTTACCTGCCTCTGCTGGTGCGCAGGCAGGCACTTTTTTATTTTTTATTTTTTATTATTTCTACGCCTCGCCATAGAGCGGGACACGCCAGCTTCTGGCCATACAGTGGGTCCTGATGTGTGGCTGGGGCGGCGGAATGCACTTTAAAGTGCCAGCATGCCTCCCGCTCCCGGCCATAAAGCAGGACATGTTTCGCTCTATGGCAGGGCGAGGCAGCATGCATTTTAAAGTGCCTGCTTGCCTCACCAGCCATAAACTTCACCGCACGTCACTGCGATCCAGTATGAGTTGCATTGCGTATGAACAATTATAAAGGGCAATCAGGAGACTGAAAATTATATAACAACATCACTGTCAGGCCAAATTAGGCATCATATGTTGACACTGGCTGATTTTAGTTTGAATAAATAACAGTGGTGAGACTTAAATTGAAAACATGCTTCCAGTCTAAATTAGGACACCATGCTTAAAATCTGTCTTGCAGGATTTGCTTTTAGGCATTCTATTTCCAGTTGCAAGGTTCACTTTTAAGGTGAATAGAGAGGGATAATTTTCAGTCAAAAACTGACAGAATCTCTAATCAAGGTAGGGAGCCCCAATTCCTGACATCCAAACAGTGATTTGAAAATTAAGTAGCTGAAGTTACATAGAGCTTGCTCTAATAAATGAAAATCAAGGAGTTCCCATTGTGCTATTGATTTGCTTAATGAGGCCATTGTCTTATTTTGCCTGATGGTGAGTTCTATTCTACATGCAACACTTATTCAAACTTTGTGAGAATTGAAATTTTTTTGTCATTTTTTTAACATAGCATTTTACCTCAAAAGAAGTTACTTCAAGAATTAGATTGTGAATCACAAATGTATAATATTGTTAATTTGCCTTGAACTCGCAAATAAAGGTTTCTCAATGCTATTACAAAAAATGCCAAAGAACAATTAATATAATGTATATTGCTTTACTTAGTACTTTTAAGAAAAGACAACACAGAATGCAATAGTCATGTTTTCTGTAAACACAGTACTATTAACATTTATCTCTGGAAACACTTCCTTATGCATTACTTCGATAGTGATAGAATAGTGGAATTTTAGGTACCGTTGTTCTATTTTTGGAGATTAATTAGAGACATAATCAAACAGGACTTACCTTCATACACTTACTTGAAATTAAAGGTTGATTAGAGGTGAAACTACCCTCCATTTCCAGATTTCCATTTAAACTTTTATGCATTGAGACAATATACTGAAGTTTAAAAAATTGCCCCATACCATTTTCTGAAGTTTGCATACTTCGAATTTGTCTTGCATGTTTTCCTCCATGAATCAAATAAGAGATGAGGAATGATAAAGCAATTCAGATAAAGAAATTGGTACAATTTTAGTGATATGGTACACCTTTTCCATTTCTTGAACTACTTTCAGAAAGTAGATGATATCCATGATTGGAAATCTAATCATGAATACACCATAGCTTTGCATATCTGACTTTGATAAAGACTTAATTTAAATATTCAGGTTATGCCACAACAGTGTGTTTAGATCTTCAAGAAGGGGAGTGGAGGTAACCTCATGAAGCAGGTTCTTCCTTCCCAGTTCAGATTCACCTGAACATCAGGAAAGTGTCTAAGCAAGGTCTTGCCAACCTGCACAATCAGGCACTTTGAAAAAAATCTATGAAAAGTTTAAAATAGTCTAGAGAAAACTCTTACCTGCCCAAAATGCTTAAATTATAATTCTTGGCAACCTGGAACACAGTAAAGTTCCATTGCTTCTGTAAGACAACTGATTCATCAGAACTGATTTAAAAGAATCATCTATAGGAATAACAATGCCACTTAACTAATGAGGAAGTGGGGAAGAAGCTGTGTGGTTAGAGCTGGGATATCCATCTGGGCTTATTTTAGGCTGAAAATAAAACAAGAATAATAAAAAGAATAAGGGATCTCCTTGCTAACTCTTCTTGTAGAAAACATGCCAAGAGAGCAGGACAAAAACCAGATCATATTGAAAAGGCACTCTAGAAGTAAGTTTATGTTACATTTAATTCTTTGGTGGTTATGTTCCCATTACAGCAATGGTACAGCAGATGTGGCAGCCATATACTATGAACTCATTGATGTAGAAGGTCATCGTTTTGGCCCTTCATCTAATCAGAGGAAGAATGCTGTAAAAGCAGTGGATAATGTTTTGCTCAGGATGTCTAAGCTTATCAAGGTTTCTGTCACTTTTAAAGATGTTTATTTCACTCTCTTCAACTTTGTTATTAAATATTTGCAATTATTCAGTAAAGACTACTTCATGGGTTACTTACTGCTTCTATTCTGAATATTAAGGAACATGCATATCCCAAGATGCTACATTCAGCTTGGGGCGTTTCCCCAAGCCAATGGATCTCCATTAGATCCCATTCTCAGAATATTTTTAATGGAAATTTTCTAAGTAATCGTTCTCATGTGATTTTTGCACTCCATCACTGAAGAATAGGATTTTGACTTTGGGAAAGATCTTCATATTTGTGAAATGATTATAGTAGCACAAACTATATACACTCCTTCAGTATTACATGCTATACAACTCATAATGTGTGTGCAAGAGCAGGCTGAGGGTGGTGAGATCCATGTTTTGCTCGAAACCCAAAATGGATAGGGGGTCGATTATTTCCCAAACACTAACTTGGGAAAACAGTAAATGGAACATGCCAAAAATGTAGTAATAAAGTTAAGCTATCTGCTTGCATGTGTGACTTTTTTCATGTTAAAAGGTCCTACATAAAGATTTCCAAGTTTCCAGAATCACAAATTTTGTGTCCAACATCTCTGTTACTGGGAATGTTTAACTGGAGGAAATTATATAATAGTCTTAATTCTTATTAATTAATTAATTCTTCTTAAATATAAAGGTGAGATGAGTGGCAAATAAATCTAATTTACTAATAATAAGTGTAATTGAAGGTGCCATCAAACAAAATGATGGGTGAAGAATTTCTCTTTCCTCCTTATATTTTGTCAATTGAGTAGGACTGAGACAAAATTTTGCTTCAAGATTTGGAAGCAAAATCTTTTCAAAGCATTCCTCTGATTCCCTGGATTTCATTCCTCTGATCTGAAATAAAAAAAGATCAGGCTTCTGAAATCTGTTTGAATGTTGTCAATGTAGGTGGCCTTCTATGTATTTTCAGCATGGCAACTATTAGTGAAATTGTTAGCTGAAAAGAGAGAGAGAGAGAAAGAGAAAGAGAGAGAGAGAGAGAGAGAGAGAGAGAGAGAGAGAGCACAAACTATCTCCTTTTCATGCTATAATTATTTTTTTTTAACTTTTTTGACAGGACAAGAAATTGCAGAATGCTTTAAATGTTGTTTTCTTTTCTGATCATGGGATGACTGATATTGACTGGATGGATAAAGTGATTGAACTGAAAAACTGCATCAACATGAGTGATGTAATTAAAGTGAAGGACCGAGGGCCAGTTGTAAGCCTATGGCCAAAGAAAGGCAAGGAAAATGAGGCAAGAACAGCAACCTTTTGTTTTTTTAATGCAGTTTAGGCTACTTGTTGATGTGCTTAATATACCAAGTTGTCTTGATAGGTTTATGCATTCATAAACAGTTCGGTATGTTCTGGAAAGGACATGAATGTGGAAAGAACGCCAGGAATCTTCATTTTCATATTTTCCACATTAATGACAGAGAGGAATGTCTTCTTCCTTATCTTCCTAGGAATATATTGTAAACTGTCTATATGTATTTATCCAGAAGGAAGAATCTCTGAATTTAAGATGACCTTGATAAGAGAAGGGTAGCTGGCCCCCCAAAAATCAGCACAGACAAAAATTCCAATTTCTGCATAATATCAAACTCCAGCTGAAATCAATCCTGAAATTCTTCCCAGTACTGAAGTGACTAGATATCTCACATAAATATATGCATACACACAACACACACATAGACAAACATGTATGGGGAGATTAGATATAGATTTATTTTACTTACTTCAGAAAAAGGCACTGCCAAAATAAACAAAAATGAATAACTAATTAAAATTGCCTAATGTAAAAAAATAACCTCTTTATTTGGAAGAAAGATGTACCACTACATTAGCCATCTCTTCTGTTTCACCTACGCAAATTACAGCCAAAGACAGAAACGCAGGTCTCAGGATCATTTCTCTGGGTATGGCTAATCTTCAAAAATATACTTTCTGGCAGGGATGTCTGCAGCCATGTACTTGTTTTCTGTTCTTTTCAGCAGGTATAAAAAGGCATAAACAAAGAACCATACATTTCTATAGATTTTCTTTGGAATTTGTTTTTTCCATCAACCTATTGGAATTATTATGAAGCTTTACACTAGTTTACTGTAGCATAGAGTAAAGCTAAATAGTCTGTACATGGTACATATTTTTAACTGGGTGGTTTACTGATCTATAGTTTGTCAATTTGTATGAAAGTAGTGAAGAGTGTCAAGGTACTCAAAGTTAGATTTCTCGCAAAGAGGTGGCTATGTATGTTACAAAACTTGAAAAGTAGTGAGGTTGTTCTTTTTCTTTCCCGCTGAAATCCCCAACCCGTTCCTCCAAAACACTGTCGCTGAAACAAAAAAGAAAATCTTCTTTAACTAGATTTGAAGTTAAAACGTTAGTCACAAAGAAGACCCATCTCCCTTTATATAAAACACTTGGAATCCTTGATGTACTGCGAGCTTGGTTGTTTCCTTGCAGGCATTTTATTTCTTGATGAGGCAATCATAAGTGCACTGAGCCTAGGTACTTACGACCACAATTGAACCCAAAATTTTTGTTGCTAAGTGAGACATTTATTAAGTGAGTTTTGCCCCATTTTATGATCTTTCTTGCCACCGTTGTTAAACGAATCACCACATTTGTCAAATTAGTCACATGGCTGCTAAGAGAATTTGACGTCCTCATTGACTTTGCTTTTCAGAAGGTCACAAAAGGTGGTCACATGACCCTGGAACACTGCAAATGTCATAAATATGAGCCAATTGCTAAGCATCCGGATTTTGATCATGTGACCATGCAGATGCTGCAATGCATAATGGTCATGAGTCACTTTTTTCAGTGCTGGGGTAACTTTGAACAGTCGCTAAACGAGCAGTTGTAAGTCAAGGACTACTTGTATATATTCTCTTGTATTGCAAAGAGCTTAGTGAAATGTAATAATTTCTAAGAACTCAACTAAGTTGCCCGTGACTGCCAAAAACCTAAGATGGCACCATTTATTCATTTGTATCCCACGTTTATTATTTTTACAAATAACTCAAGGTGGTGAACATATCCATCACACCTTCTTTCTCTTATTTTCTCCATGACAACAACCCTGTGAGGTGGTTTGGGCTGAGAGAGAAAGTTACTGGCCCAAAGTTACCAGCTGACTTTCATGGTAAAAGTGGGAGTAGAACTCATGGTCCTCTGTTTTTTAGCCTGCTGCATTAACCACCAAACCAAACTTTCTGTCTTCCAAGATTTCTCAAAATAGCCAGCAATTTTCCAAGTCAAGATTCCTATTAATTTTATTCTGAGTATTAAAATCCCTCAGTCTTAATGCTAGTCATATGTAAAACATGTTCAATGTAGACCCCTAGTTTGTAACTTAAAACATTCTGATCTGAGTTTACAATGGCTGTTTGGATCATTTAGATGCCTCCCAGGTCAATACAGCCAGGGCAATTTTAAGACTGGCATAGTTCTAGTATGGTCAATATAGCATCAAAACAGTTCCAGCAAAGTTAAACAGCCCCTTTCCAACTTGAAATTTCTGTCATTATTTTTAATCATATAAGGCATTTTAATGCATCTGTTTTTGAAGACTTTTGTGCTATAGAAACCACAAAAAGAAGAGCAGAAGAAAATCAAACGTCTAACCTCTAATGTCTGACCTTTTATCTGTTTATTGTTGGGATTTTTTTCCTAATAGACTGCAAGAAGCAAAAGTAGGAGTATTTAAAGGAAACTCTTCTTGACAAGTGGTTTGATTTTCAGTATGATCATTCAATTTGGCGTGGAATAATTCTGTACGCTGAAAGCAATGTCACTGCTTTTATTCCTTTGCAGATATATAACAAACTGAAAAATGTGCCACATATGACAGCCTATAAGAAAGATGATATCCCTGATAGATTTTATTATAAAAAAGGAAAATTTGTTTCTCCGTTGACTCTGGTAGCTGAGGAAAGATGGTTCATAGTAGAGGTAAGTGCTTCCTACAACCTGATTTGTATCAATTGGGATTCCCATGAACAATTTAGAACAGCAGTTTTGGGCACCAGGGACCGATTTTGTGGAGAAAGGGCTTTCTGCGGATCGGAGGGAACATGGTTTTGCATGTGCTACCCATATCCCGCAAATAGGACTTTGCTTGAGTGTGCGGCCCAGTTGCTGACATGCTGCAGACTGATTCCAGTCCACAGACTGGAAAAGGATAGCTATTATAGAAACAAAAGAAACAGAATAGTTATTGAGACTATTGATATGCTCTAGAATTGGTTGGTCAAAGTGTTCTGATATCAAATAAATGTGTGCATGTTGGTCAGACATGATATTATCTCCTACTTTCTAAAAATTTGTCTTGATTTTGTTAATGATAGATATGCATAACTTATGAATACTAATTACAATATAATTTCAATTTGATTATGCATAACTGTTTCTTCTAGTAAATATAAGACATAATTTTTAGCTACAGCAAGGTTGATGCAGACATTGCCTCTACTGATAGCAGAAAATACCTTCACTTTTTCAGTAATGCTGAATGTTTCATGAGTAATGCCAACAAATAAATCACTGAGTAATAATTCAATCAGTCAGTGATTACTTCCAATTTATAGTTTGGTGAACTGGAGCTAATAATATCATGAATTAATCTTGGGGGTTCTTTCTTAATTTTCTTAGCTTCTATTTGTGCTACAATTTTAAAACAATGGTAGCTGCAATGGCCTTGAAAGCAATGGTGTGGGGAGGTCCTGTTAGGCCACTCATTAAGATTGAAATTAAAGCTAATCCACAAGGGGAATGGGAGCAATGAAAAGGTCCCCTCCCCAAGCATGAACAAAGCCAACCTACATAGGGACAGGAACTTTGATTTTCCATTGCTAATGTAGGCTTATGAATGCTGGACCCTGCGGGGAAAAAACAGGGAAAGACTTTGAATTAAGGTTTTAGAAACTGTTTCTACATTTTTAAAAATATCATAAACTCCATGAACTTATTGTGAAGAACCAATTATTTTTTTTTAACCAACAAAGGAAGTCTGTTTTTTTTTTTTACTGGAATGATCATCAGCAGGCATAAATTCACATGCTTTGGACATGTGATCTTCAAGCTTCACTTCAGACTCAAGAATAAATCTTAATTTTCTAGAGATTCCCTGCTATTTAAGAACTGTTTTATAAGTGGAAGACTCTATTAGGGAACAAATCAAGGTGGAGGAATTTGTCCATACAGTTGGCATTGGGAAGACACAATTCAATAGCATATAGTAATGTGGGAGTCCCCCTCCTTACAAGGCTGCTTTGTTGAATTCAGTTCCAGGAAACTAACCACCAGTGGTTTGCACATGATGAAACAGCTATCAGGTTCCAATTAATACACCTAATGAAAAAAGACTCCGAGGTTTGAATTTCCTCAAAGTTCCATTTTATTAGAGATGTCATATTGGCACATCTGGGAAAACCCGCATCTGAAAGCTTCCAGGTTTTCCCCACCCAAATGAAAGTACAAGTCTCTGCCCAGCACCCACATGTCCATCACATGATCCAATCAAGCCCTGTCCCAACTGGAGATGCCTCCTAGTCACACCACTCAAGGTGCAGGGCAAGTTGTCCTTGACTCTTTGAGAAAGGAATGTTATTTTGCTTTAACTACCGGTATATCTCCCATACTCTATAAGGGATGTAGTGGCTCAGTGGCTAAGACGCTGAGCTTGTCGATCAGAAAGGTCAGCAGTTCGGGTAGTTTGAATCCCTAGCGCCGCATAACGGAGTGAGCTCCTGTTACTTGTCCCAGCTTCTGCCAACCTAGCAATTCGAAAGCATGCAAAAATGTAAGTAGAAAAATAGGAACCCCTTTGGTGGGAAGGTAACAGCATTCCATGCACCTTCGGCATTTAGTCATGCTGGCCACATGACCATGGAGACGTCTTCAGACAGCGCGAGCTCTTCGGCTTTATGGAAATGGAGATGAGCACTGCCCCTTAGAGTTGGGAATGAATAGCACATATGTGCGAGGGGAGCCTTTACCTTTACCTTACCCATACTCCAAAAAGTCCCCCCTCCTAGTTTCCAATAGCATTAAATGTGGCGGGCCTGAAGGCCCAAATCAAAAGATGGCTTCCAGGTCTGACAACAGCGCCTGTCATGTTTGCTAGCATTAACTTATTGGCCTGCCAAGGTTTACCTAATTTGCAGACTCTGCAGCCAGCAAGCCATAATTCAAATTAAATCTTTTAACAATACTAGATATTGCTGTGGGTTCAGTTACTTGTACAGTATTGTCAAAGTCAAAAAATTTAAAATTCTCTGTTCAGCCTGAATTTGTCAGTACAGATAGTCCTCGACTTACAACAGTTCGCTTAGTGACCATTCAAAATGACAATGGCACTGAAACCCCCCCCCCCACCATTTTTCAAACTTATGACCATTGCAACATCCCCATAGTCATGTGATTTACATTTGCATGCTTGATAACTAACTCACATTTATGACAGTTACAGTTTCCCGGGGTCATGTGATCACTTTTTGCAACCTCAACTTATAACCACAATTGAGCTCAAAATTTATGTTGCTAAGTGGGAAATTTTTTAAGTGAGTTTTGTCCCATTTTATGACTTTTCTTGCCACTTCTGCTAAGTGAATCACAGCAATTGTTAAATTAGTAACACAGTTGTTAAGGAAATCTGGTTTCCCCATTGTCTTTGCTTGTCAGAAGGTTGCAAAATGGGAATCATACGATCCTGGGATAATGCAAATGTCATAAATATGAACCAGCTGTCAAGCATGCAAATGTAAATCATGTGACCATGGGGATGTGACCATGGGGATGCTGCAACAGTCATTAGTGTAAAAAGTGGTCATAAGTCACTTTTTTCAGTGCCGTTGTAACTTCAAACAGTCACAAATTGAATTGTTGTAAGTCAAGGAATACCTGTATACTACAATGATTTAATCATCTTATCCCTACAATATATATTAAATAATGTTTTTCTCACTCCGAAGAGCAGAGAATCACTTCCATTTTGGGATAATGGCACTGGAAAACGAGAAGCTTGGCAGAATGGATGGCATGGCTATGATAATGAATTCATAGATATGAGAGGGATCTTTTTTGCATATGGACCAGGTAGGACAAGTGAAGTTTATGATGACCATATAGCTTTTCCTCCCTCCCTTTCTTCTGTATATCTATTGATTAGGGGTGCTTATAACTGATGCATAGATTTGGATTTTCCTGGAAAGTAAAGAATATGGTTTCAGAATTTATCCATTTCCAGATTTTATATCTCATTTCAAAGTAACATTCTCTTTGTTTTAACAGTATAATGGCCAGCCATGTTATTAAAATTTGTTTCAGCAGTTACAATCCATTAACAGGTGATGACTAAGAAAGTCTCTTTTTTGTTAATGCATATATGAATGACTATAAACGGTAACACAGAAAAACATATATTTTTCAGGATTTAAAATTTAAATTATTTAACCCTGACATCAACCCAGACAATACTGATTTCTAGAGTCAGAGACACGGAAAAGTAATTCAGGCTAATGATCTTCATAGATTCATTTTCACCATAAAACTCCAGTACACTTGTTCTTATCTTAATCAAGTCTGGAAAAGAGCCGAGGTGGCGCAGTGGTTAAATGCAGCACTGCAGGCTACTTCAGCTGACTGCAGTTCTGCAGTTCGGCTGTTCAAATCTCACCGGCTCAGGGTTGACTCAGCCTTCCATCCTTCCGAGGTGGGTAAAATGTGGACCCGGATTGTTGTTGGGGGCAATATGCTGACTCTGTAAACTGCTGAAAGCCCTATGAAGTGGTATATAAGTCTAACTGCTATTGCTATTGCTATAAAAAGACATTTTGTCCTAATTGGGGCAATTGTGTCAGGTCTTTGTGTACTTAACACAGAGTACACTGCTGCTAATTTACTAATTGGAGAGGTTCAAATTTGAGTTATTTTAATATACATTTCTAAAGTGACTGTATATTTTAAATGCCATTCCCAGGATAGATAAGCTCCATAATGCTACAGATAACATTCCTCACTAGCCTCTTGTTATGCTGTCTTTTGGCTATTCTCTTGTACTTAATAGATCATGACTTTTTTCTGCTGTACCATTCATCCCTTGCCATGCCCCAAATTAAACCATGTACAACAGTGATGGTCTATATACATGCTGAAAAGATGCTTATTAACTCTGGCACTAAAAGTTCATGACGGAACTCCTGAATTATGTATAACCACCGTGTTATTATTATTGATGTATTTTATTATTTTATTTGATGTATCCTTAACTTGCTCTGTGTCATACATTGTCCAATGTATTCTTAATTTTACACACTCCCTGGAGACGCAGTGCATGGCAGGCAGCATGTTCATTTTTTTTAAATAATAGATGTGCTTGCAGCATTCTGGCGAGGACTGCTGGTCTAAAACGCCTCTTTGTCTTGTTTCAGATTTCAAGTCTAACTTCAGAGCTGCACCAATCAGATCAGTTGATGTGTATAATGTTATGTGCAAAATTGCAGGAATCCCACCACTGCCAAACAATGGATCCTGGTCGAGAGTGGCCTGTATGTTGAAAGATAATGCCAATTTGGCCCCAGCGTTCCAATGGAGCAGCTCTGTGCTGGGACTTATTCTGTTTTCATTGTTTGTATAACAAACCTTGCAACACCAGTCTCAGTACAATGTCAGTCAGTGTGTCTAGTTTCCTCCCCACCCTTCCAATTCAATGGCAGCATTGAAATGGAAAACGTTGTTGGGAGAAAATGATATAAATTAATTTCTGAAAATCCTGGTGCCAAATGCTTGGAGGGGCATAAGCAAACAAAAACAAACATGAGTTAGTTCCAATGGGCACCTGTTGTCCATTACCAAAGTAAGCCTTTTTCTGCCTTCGGCCATCAGTTCCAGAATTAATCCCCAGGTGGCTGAAACTAGTAATCAAGATGCACCAACTCAAAGCAGACAGACCCACTTGCTAATCACATCTTTTTCTAGCAGTTTTCTGCCTTTGCAATACATTTAAATTTAGATCAGCTTTTCACAGTTCATCACCTCCCATGATGTGTTATTTCTATGGTGTCCATAATTCTCTGACAGCCAATCTGGTAGACTATTTTGCCAGGGATAGTGCACATTGGAGCCACTTGTATGGACAGCAATAGGAAAATGGACTTAAATGACACTTAGAAGTTCTAGAACGTGTGCCCCAGATTTTTCCTAGTATATATACATGGAAGGAGACAGCCTGTAACTGATCAATAGTACGTAGTCACTTTATAGATTCCACTGGAGCCTCTTGGCAACCTCTCTAAGAAGACCTCCGATAAAGACCTCAGAGCTTCATGTGGCTGCCTCTTCCAGTGGCTTATAGGTCAGGAAATCAGTTCTGATGCTAACCTGAACCTGCTTCTGTTAGTTATCCCTTTTCTTTGCGACAACCCTTTGGAAAGATGAAAAGTACTTTATCACTTTCAATTATTTCTTCCGTGGCCGAAGCATAATCAGATCCTTTCAATGCATTCCATTTAAACACCAGTTGCTGAGCTCAGCATGAGGAAGAGAAGAGACCAATGTACAGTGGTGAATGGTGGTGGTGAATCTTCAATAAAGAGGTCTTCAAACTTTAGGGAATTGATTTGGACTGATAATAATGATCACAGTGACTAATAGCACTCTTGGTGCTGTATCAAAAAATTCTGGGCAACACTTAGAAAATCTGCACATTGACAAAATTTCCTCCTGTCAATTACAAAAGGCTACACTGCTTGGATCTGCGACTTACTTCACTGAGTACATTTCACACAACTATACACATATAATGCCAGGCAGAAGAATTCCATAATAACTGATAAACATTGATGTGTGCTTTTAAATCTCAAGTGAATCATTGAATCAATTGGAATGGAGGAAAAGAAAATCTTTTGTTATCTGGCAATTGAATACAGAAGGCAATTTAGTTCTTGTTAGGCATTTGCACTAGTTGGAAAACAAAGATCTATTGTTTAAAGGTCTACATGCTATATTAATAGGGCAGACTGTTTGAATTCTTTGGAGCAATGTTCCCTCCCATTAAAAAAAAAATCATTCAAAACCTTCATTAAAATGACCTCATTTTACAATTTTGCAAGAAAGACAAACAGAAAAAAAAACAACAGAACATACAAAGTAATCTTCTGTATTCTGGTGGTCAGAAAGCTTCATGATTTCTTTGTTTTCTCCTCACAACATTTTTAATCTTTTTTAAAAACTCTTTTAATGATAGTTGGGTTACCCCAGACTTACATTGGTGGAATGGAATTTTGAGCCTAGGTATTATTTAGAAAAGTGCACATAGGATAAAACCTGCTTTTATTGATTGCTGCTAAGCAAAATGATTCTGAGGCAGAACTTTTCAGATATGTTTGCAGAAGTTTACAGATGTGTAGCAAGGTAGCTGAATCATTCCCACAAATATGAAGTATCCAAATAAAAGAAGAACTACTTGGATTGATGGACTATGGAAATGTCAATTTTTAAATGTCTTTTGAATTGATTTTTTGAAGAAAAATCAGGGATTCATTTTATAAAGCCATGATATACATAGAGAGTTAACAAATGTACAGCTTTAAAAATAACGGATGGGTGGGATTGGGAAGAGGAGCATAGAAAGTCACTGATATTTAGAGTACTGTTGAGCTGTGAAAGTGTGACTATTGTGAAAAAGGATAGATGGGATTCTGTTTCTCTTCTCAGACTAACAGAGGCTGGAAAGAAATTATGCAAGCAGGGTCAGGACTCTGTCCATCTGTCTCTCTGTCTTCTCTGAAAACTTAACAGTACAGGACTAAATTGGGATAGGAAGAGAAGCTGACAAAAGAAAGATCAGCTCAGAAATGGGCTAGATAAAACTGGAGGTTATAGAAGAAAAAAAATTTTTTGTTCCATTCCAGAGCCAATATATGGGATGCGGTGGCTCAGTGGCTAAGACGCTGAGCTTGTCGATCAGAAAAGTCAGCAATTCAGCAGTTTGAATCCCTAGCGCCGCATAACGGAGTGAGTCCCATTACTTGTCCTAGTTCTGCCAACCTAGCAGTTCGAAAGCTTGTAAAAATGCAAGGAGAAAAAATAGGAACCACCTTTAGTGGGAAGGTAATAGCATTCCGTGTTCCTTCGGCGTTTATTCACATAACCATGAAAATGTCTTCAGACAGTGCTGGCTCTTCGGCTTTGAAACAGAGATGATCACTGACCCCTAGAGTCGGGAACGACTAGCACATATGTGCAAGGGGAACCTTTACCTTTAGAACCAATATATCTAGCTGTACTATACATTTTAGTGCCCATGCATACGCATGCACACACACACAAATAGTAATTCACTATGTTACACACCACCTTACACATCTACTGGTACCTCCTATGACCACGGTTTGAAAAGATTTTGGAAAGAAATCCAGAAGCTGTACTCTGCAGGATTTCCTGTTTGTGAAGACTGTGAAAATCACCCTGTGGAGAAAAACCACCTGCCCACCGCCTTTACCACCCCTCAACCTACAACTATGTCATTTTTAGTTCCACCACATTCTTCATTGAGGTCAATAGCTATATTAATTCTTTGTTTAGATTTGCATGGCCACCTCCCTTTCCACGGTCCTGATTGGTGAATGAAGTTTAAAACAGAAATTACAATATAAAAGACTATTAAATATACAACAGTCAAGAGTGGAACCCACAGAATGACATCAGGCTTCACTAGTTTCCTTCTGAGCAAACAACCAAGTTTTCAGCACTTTCTGAAAGTCAGGAGAGTTGGGGCCAATCTAACCTCAGGTGACAAAGTTTTTCCAAAGGATACACAACCATGATGAAAAGGGCACTCTTCCTGGATCCCATAGGACAGTGTTTCTCAACCTTGTCAACTTGAAGATGTCTGGACTTCAACTCCCAGAATTCCCCAGCCAGCAAATGCTGGCTGGGGAATTCTGGGAGTTGAAGTCCAGACATCTTCAAGTTGACAAGGTTGAGAAACACTGCCATAGGATGTCCCTTTTTCATTGATAAGACTCAAAGCAGGCTCCTCCTTCCAGATCTAATGTGGAGGGCACAGACTTATGAGTGTATTGGGGACATGGGTGGTCTCAAAAGGTTAAAAAAGAGCAAGAAGTGGCTACAACTATGCAGTCAAAATCCTGACCCTTTTATGTTTGGCACAATGCAGGGAAGATTGGTGGGGGAGGGATAGGCTTTGATTATACTTTGTAGTCACCATCTTGACTTTTATGAGCCACTCCCTGCAAACCTGCCTGGTAGGGGAAAACTGAAAGAATGAATTACCGGTAACACTCATCTTTAGTTGACCTGATTGGGATTGCAGCAAATGAGATGGGGAAGCTATTTCTTCCCCTGTAGAAAACTCTTCCTCATTATCTTTGATTGGAAATAGGTGAGAATCTTCTGGTTTCACAAGTCTCCTCAAAGAATCAATTTGTCATGACAGGCAAACATAATCTCTTGTTTCCTTGTTAGTCATCTGGGTCTGTGTTTTGCATTTTAAACAATTGGTGCATTAAACCGGTTTTGATTTTGTTTGTTTGGCCCTCGGTCACAGTAATTGCAATCTACTTTTGACTTAGAAGCCATTCTGGTGCCTGGACTAAGGTAAGTGATGGGGTTTGGGGCAGAATAAGAGGAACCATCTGGGAAGCAATGGAAGACAATGAGTAGAGGACTAGGAAAATATTTTAATTGCTATGGATAGCACCAGTAAATGTGGCAGAGTTATCCAATGTCTACTTTCTAATGGAAGACTGTTGCTGCTGCTGTTATTAGTGCAATGTCGTGTCTGACATATTGCGACCCCATGGACAATGTTCCACCAAGTCTTCCTGTCCTCTACCATCCTGTGGAGTCCATTTAAGATCACGCCTATTGCTTCAGTAACTCCATCCAGCCACCTCATTCTCTGCCATCCCCTTCTTCTTTTGCCCCCAATCGTTCCCAGCAGTAGGCTCTTCTCCAGTGAGTCTTTCTTTTTCATTAGGTGGCCAAAGTATTTGAGTTTCATCTTCAGGATCTGGCCTTCTAAAGAGCAGTCTGGATTGATCTCCTCTAGGACTGATTGGTTTGATCGCCTTGCAGGCCAAGGGACTCGCAGGAGTCTTCTCCAGCACCATAAATCAAAGGCCTCACTTCTCTGGTGCTCAGCCTTCCTTATGGTCCAACTTTCACAGCCATCCATTGCAACTGGGAAAACCGTAGCCTCGACTATACACACCTTTGTTGGCAGGGTGATGTCTCTGCTTTTTAGTATGCTGTCTAGATTTGCCATAGCTTTCCTCCCCAGGGGCAAACGTCTTTTAATTTCTTGGCTGCAGCCCCATCTGCAGTGATCTTGGAGCCCAGGAAAATAAAATCTGTCACTACCTCCATTTCTTCCCCATCTGTTTGCCAGGAATTGAGACGGCTGGATGCCATGATTTTAGCTTTCTTAATGTTGAATTTCAAGCCAACTTTTGCACTTTCCTTCTTCACCCGCATCAAGAGGGGCTCTTTAGTTCCTCTTCTAGGCACTCTTGTGAAGACTAAATCATCACAAAAGTGCCTAGAAGAAGAATCTTCATTGATCCCACTTTCATCTGCTATATTACTCTTCTTGGGAATCCTGCTTCTGTATGTGATATACATCCCAGTATAGCCATAGTAGACTCTGACCTTTTTATTTTGGGGAAACGATCACCTTCGGAAGGTTCCCATCACATGACCTTGAAGTATCAGGATCTTCTCAGGCAGCAAACAGCTCACATAAATTCCTCACCTCCCTCCCAGCTGCTAATACATTCCAAGCATTCTCCCCCCTCCTTCATTTCTGTTGTCAAGTTGCAAGTACATTAGGAGTCAGCCTTGACAGCCGTTTTCTACGATCTTTTCACCACTGATTGTGCATGTTCAGTTCAAACACAGATACTACACAGAAGTGGCAGCAATCTGCCAAAATTTCTACTTTTTATTTAAAAAAAAATCTGGCATATGATCTAAAGATAAATTGTAGTTATGTACTCATAACTACAGGAAGACATTGGACTGACTATCTACTTTGGAAAAAAGAAAATGTCAACAGTGTTTATATTTATCCTGATAATGAAGTGTTCAGTGAGAGATTGCACAGCTTTACCATTAAAATAGGCCACAAATTAATATAACTTTCTCAAGAGAAATTATTTCCCAAGGCAAAAATTTTAATCTTCCTTCATTGTATTTTCCTTCATTGGATCAGTATGAATGATATTATTAAATCAAATAATTATTTTAATAAACCCATTTTTGTTGGGTTTTTAGAGACAACCTTTACAGGAATACGTCTGCTACATATGAATATTTTCAGCTTGTATAAATGACAGTATTTCTTTAGCTAATTCCATTCCCCTTTGTTAATTTCTTCATGCAAAATGATTGTATAGGAATGTGTAGTCTGTCTTTAAATAAACAAACCATAAAACCTTAAAAGATACATCTAAATATATCCAAATTTAGGTGACTATGGCAAAGTGTGTATTTATGTAATACAAGATTATTCAGCATTATGCAAAGAATTGTGCACAGAAAATTAACACTACAGTATGCTCATGAAATATCCCAACACTATTTAGC